ATACCTGACAGAGTTCGCTCCTGTTTCTTGCTTTTTGCATTTTTAAACTCTACCTGTGTTCATTTCCCAGAAATAGAGTGAATAGATTAAAATAATCCCGGTAGAAGTAAACCGACAGCGGTGGATAATTCTCCAGCCGGGCAGCGTTAGCAAATGTTTACAGGATCTGTAGATGTGGAAAGTAAAGTCTGTGTTCCCTCCAGCTCCTGGCAGCGTGGACCACTCTGAAGGCGCCATAATCGATGACCTGTGTGGTCGGGGGGGGGGGGGTTCTGCTGCACTCTGTGTACCCGGTCTGTGCCAGAACAGTTATTACAAAGATGCCATTTGATCCTGGCAGATAATGTTTCAACACAGCAACTGTTGCCGCCGCTGCTGCTGCTGTTGCCGATGCGAGCTTTCCATCATCGCCGGAACACGTCTCCATTACGGTTGTTTTCCTTGTTGACAGACGCTCACCCATCACAACGAGCTGGACGTCTGAGACCCGCTGTGTCCGGAACAGTAGACGCAAAAAGCGAGGAAGTTGCAGGGCAGCGTCTGCAACCCGATCTGACGTCATAAAACAGCTGCATGGGACCCTGCAGGAAGGACTCAGTGTGCAGATTAAACAGATTCAAAAGTGGGAAAAAAGGTGGAATCTAAAAATGAAATGATGTTGGTAGGAACTGGGCAGGCCTGCTAAGACTGCGGCTTCAATCAGCGCTCCCACGGGTATTAGGAGCTCTACGCACTTCACACACAAACTTTTTCTCTCCACATCCTTCCTGCACAGCTCTCTCAGCCTTTGTTCACACCCGTCAATCCAAGACAAGTTCTGATGAAGAAAAGCCGGAGGGCGTCAAAGGCCGGGCCTTCTTTGTGTTGCATCTATTCACACTGAGGTGCTGGAGTCTGGCTCCTCTACAGTCTCACACAGTGTTTAGGAGGCAATAACCCAGTTAAACCTCTGCGCTCCTTATTTAAAGGCCATTGATGTCCTGTAAATGTCCAGTTAGCTATCAGATAACTGTAACCTCTATGTCTAACAGCCAACCTTTAGCCATTAAAGCTGTCTGCATCGGGCTTCATCTCTGCAACACTTTAGTTTATGCATGTACCGCCACTTAGCGGCTTATAAGGAGAGAAATCATTGAATCCGGTCCGGGTTTTACCTTTGATTAGTCCTTTCTAATGGATGAAGATGCTTTATTTTGTGCCATTCTAATGCAATGATGGGACTAACTCCGTTACCTTGTTTTAGTAACGAGTAATCTAATTACTTTGACTGTAACTAT